TCTTTTGATTTAATGTCGAGTTTGACATGTTAAATTGATTTATTTTTGGAATTATAAGTAATTTTTGGTTAAGTTTATCTTTTAGTTTAGTTTTGTTATTAGTTTAGTCTTATATTCATTATCTTTTATCTTGTCAAGAAACATCATTTATCGTTATAAACACTAATTAGTCATAATATTCAAAGTAAATTACCATGAACACAGTCACTATTACCATTTTGAAATACTTTCATACGTAAAAGCTCAAAACGGTAATAATATTTATCATTTAATTAATCAATTTAAACATGAAATTAATATTAAAAAATAAGTTATTATTAATTTATATATATAATATAAACATAAAATAAAGTAGAATCAATAACTATTGCTAATTGTTGGAAATTTATCAATATTTTATCAACAATATTATTATCAGATATAATATTATCAACTATAGAAATATTATTCAAAGATTATATTAATAATGAAATATCAATTATTACTGAAAGTTTTTTTAACTGAAAATGAAATTATTGAAATAATTCAAAAATCAAATAATTTTGAAAATAATAAAAGTAATAATGAAACATCATTAGCATCAATTATTATATCCAAGCAAGTATTAAATGAACTTTAATTATTTTTTAATTTTTGTGAATAATAATCTAATAATGATAAAAGATAATTTGATAATATTTTAAAAATATATATCTATTATAAAATAAAAAACTATCAAAAATATGAAACAAAATTAATTGATAATTTTTTTACATTGATTTTAATTATATAATTATATTATATTAATTAAATAATAAATAAATATAATTATTATGCAATATTAATTCAAATAAAAAAATAGTTTATTATTTTTTAATAACAAATTAAAATTTGTATAAAAATATTGATAGACAAAGAATTAAAATTTTTTCTTTAAATAATCTTTTTTCTTTTATTATTATTTTATTTTTTTGTTTAATCTCCTTTTTTAACTCTTGTTTAAGTTTATAAACTAATTTGTTAATTAGTAAACAAACTTGTAATAATATTTATATTAACATGTTGCACTTTTGAAATATGTGTCAGATTACACTGATTTGAAAATTCAGAAATTAACATTAAAAATTGATTTTAAAGTTAGAATTAGAGTGAAGAACAAAAATTTACACATTCTTATCATGTAAATGAGCATAATGTGCACGTGTTCTTGCAAAATTAAATGCACAATTTTGGCCGGCATAAGTCATTTGACATACAATACAAATTGAATCAAAGAGATTGTTTAGAAAGAACATCGTTATTCAGATTACAAAAAGAACATTAAAATAACGATCGCATTAACTTTCTTCATTCTCAGATATATCAGACATACAGCTTTTGCTAATCGGAACAAAATAAAGAGTAAACATGTCATATGGGAAATATCCCTATAATAACGCCGGTGCACCCGGCCAATTCAACAACAATAACACCGCCGCCACCACCACCAATTCGCAACCACCACCAAAATTTACAGACTTTCATTTAAAGTCAACAACAATGTCCAAAAAGTTTAAGGTGAATCTGATGCGATTTCCAAAACCAGTAGACTTAAATAAATTTACACCACCAGTAAAGTTATACCGTGGGGATCCTAATGCACCACACCCATCACAAGTTACAGCAACTTCTGCCAATAACAACAATGCAGCAAGTTCGAGCGGTGGTGCTGCTGCTAGTAGTAGTAATAGTAGTCAGGGGAAGGGTATTTCAACCACTGGAGCTGATACATCTAAAATCGCTCCCTATGGTGGTGCTACGCGGAATAAGCAAATGTTGTTCAAGAAACGCACTAAACAGATCTTTTTGGCGTCAAAGGAAAGCAGAAAATTAAAACAGGAGGAGGACAAGCCATGGATTTTGACGGATTACGATGATCAAAATTCTTGGATAGGTGAAATGGAGGGAGGAATCCGTGAAAATCAGTATGCTATATTCTTACTCACGGTAACTCCCTTTTTGGAATATTCATGTATTTTTGTTTGCTTCTGTAGAATAATAAGTTTTAACATTATATAAAATCCTTTATTAAATCAAAAGGAGGACGGGTTTAAAGTCGTTCCTGTAAATCGTTGGTACAAATTTAAGCCAAAAATAAAGCACCGTACACTATCAACTGAAGAAGCGGAAGAAGCGGTATTTAGTTTTACATACATCGATCTCGTATTTTGAATAATTGAACTAATTATCTCTACTTAGATGTTAAAAGCGCAAAAAAAGGATTCGTCACGATGGATGATGCGCGCGTTCAAAAAGCCTTCCGAAGAAGATGAAGAACTTGTTGCCACGGAGGGAATATACGATCCTAAAGCACATCTGCGTACAGTAGAAAAATATGTGTCGGATGATGATGATAATCGACGACACAAAGAGGATGACGACGATGAAGATTTAGATTTCGAAGAAGTGTTTGAGGATGATGAAGAGTTTCCAGAACAAGCAATGGACGAAGAAGAGAAGGAGGCTGAAATCAAAATCAAGAAATCTATTAGAAAAGCCACCATTAAACACGAAGAAGAGGAAGATAATAATTTGCCTGATTCGGAAGAAGAAGAGGAGGATTTGACTTCAGCTGGTAAAGATTTAAAGAGGATTGTACGCCAACATGAAGATAATGAAGCATATGTCAGTGATAAAGATGAAGACCCCTATGCAAGTAGCGTTGATGAAGAAGATGCAGAAGCAGAAGCAAAACAAGAAGATGGAGGAGATAAAAATCAGGCTAAACCGTCCACTAGCACGGCTACAGTCAAAACCACAACAACTGCTTCAAAAGGAGGTAATAATACTCCAAAGACACAAAAAACTCTAGCTACCTCATCTGCAAAAAAACCAAAAGCGAATCCAAAATCAACTACTGCAAAAGCTGGTACATCGAGTTCTGATATTACTGCAAAAAAGAGAGCGGCGCAAAATTCTAAAGCATCTCAAGGGCAAGGAGCTAAAACCACAGGTGCTGAGACACCCGCCAAAAAAACCAAGGCATCTTCACCTAATCGTGTTACCCCTTCTGCTACCTCATCAACCACTAAAGATTTGACAACAGCGACCAAAACTTTCAAAGCTGCAAGTTTAAAATCTACGTCCACTCCAGGTACTCCTAATCCTGCTACACGGCCCATTGCAAATTCCAAAGCTGCTAGTGGTGCGAGTACTAGTACTACACCTAATCCTAGTACAGCAACAACAGCAAAAACTTCAACCATAAAACTAAAGCCACGACCACAAGCATCTCCATCCGATGATGGGACTGCCAAGGTCGGTCAAAAAAGAGCCGCTAGCGACCAAGCAGGGCCAGCCAAAAAGGCAAAACAAGTTGTGTCTCAAACCTCAGCTGATAATCCTGTCTCTCATCTTTCACTTCTAAAACGTACTAATGCCGAAATGTCTTCCCCGCCTACTACAAATGATAAATCAAAAAAGATTAAAACCACAACAACTCCCAAATCAGTTTCTTTGGTCACTGTTGCTGGTGCTACTTCACAAAGAAAACCAATTGTGGCATCAACAAGTAGCAGTCAATCACCGATTACGGATCCTATCACCGAAACTGAAGTGGTTCGTGTGATTAGAAAGGGTGGTATGACTACCAAGGATCTCATCGAAACCTTCAGACCTAAAATCAAAGCTGATGCCCGTAATAAGGATATCCTCTTAAACTTGGTGAGGAAAGTCTCAGTTATTGATAAAGAGGCTAAACAAACAATTGAGGCTAAACAAACAAATATTCTGAAACTGAAATCCGCAAAACCGCAAGATCAATAATTACTTGAAATAGATCACTTGTAGCAATATAATATATCGCATATACGAACTATATATATTAATTTTTATTACTCAGATAGTTAACTATCTTATAATCAGTAAAACCATATAATAATAGAAGCAACATTTTAATAAATCAATCAATTCCTTCTTGGCTATAATAAAACGTATTTTCTCGTATTTACGTCACTCGCTTATTCATGTAAAAGTCGGCAACACATTCTCCAACGAGTGTATTCATTAATATATTCGAGAAACCAGTGCGTTGACAAAAATTGTTTGAATTAGCATTTGATAAATAAATATTCATGATCAATGAATTTTTTGGTTCAAAATTTCGTCCAGCCGAAATGTTGAGCGACCCAATTAATTTTTGTCCAATCTTTATTCGCAGCACGTCTTATTGCACTCTCATGTCTTTTCAGAGCTATTTTAACTTGTAATTTCACAACCTGTATTCTCAAAAGCGAAGCCAAAACGGCAGAGCTAGTACTGTTAATGGCATAAAATTCCAGGTGATCCTGAATACATTCCCATAATTTGATAGCAAAGTCCGAATTATTAGGTGGCGCCGCAATCAGTGATTGATTTTCCGAAGGATTGAATCTGTCATAAGCAAGAATGCTAAGATATCGATTGTACGGCGACAACATTATATTTTCTTGTGGGGGGGTGTTTCTAATGAATTCGATTAGCTCATTTACCGCCCTTGCTCTATTTCCATTCGCGTACAACAATGTGACGCATAATATCGTTCCCGTATTATGATTAACAAAGAATTTAGCGGGATTTTGGCAAATGTATCGAAATAAGGTTGGAGACATTCTTCTCGCGAGTTTTGACATTTTTTCTTTAAAGTCTTTTTGGCTGGCTCGCGGGCGAATGTGGTCCATGCTCGCTAAGGCTTTTATGGTTTCCTGCGGTAATAAAAGTGCTGAACGTCCAGTAAGCAAATGGACAAGACATACCCTTCCATAGTCATTTTCCATTATATTTTGTAGGTTTCGAATCATCTCCGTGATGACCATTTTTCGTACTAGATCGATACTATTTACAGATTCAAATATAGTGACTATGAGTAAATGACCATATTGATTTTTGCATAAAGATGCAAATTTCGATTTCATCGACTTTAACATTGTCCGTCGATCTTTTTCTGTTCCAAGATAGAAACAAAGCCTGGCAACATGTATTCCTTTGTGCGTGTGTAATATTGATCGGATGAATTGGTTAATTCGTGCCGTGATCTCTTGATCTTCGCCTCGAATCTGTGCATGCGTCAAATACTCAATAATTATATCTTGGACAATTGTGTGTTTGATCGTCTTTTCATTCAAGCAACTAAGAATATTTCGGGTCATTTCATTTCTTTGAAAAACATTCTGATCTATTATGTCATCTAACTTTAATACTAACTGATCATCATTACTGTTGTTATTTCCATATTCAGATCCATAAAATTCAGAAATTAACAATGCTTTTTGTTCGGAAGTCGAATTTGCGTAGATTGTTTCCATTACATGAGTGCCAATATCATCTTTCAATAATTCGATTGTGTTCCCAAAAAAATCTCGTATTATTATTTTTTTTCCAAGTGTCGGTTCCTTTAACAAAATTTCAATTAATCGCTTTCCATTGACTGTTTTCGCAATTTCGAGAAAATTGCCTCCAAGTCGATCCAAAATATTCTTCTTGATGGGGGCTCGTCCTCGATGAAAAACATGAACCAGGATATCGAAGGCTTTTTGGTCATGCAGCATCCCTAATAGATGGTTTTTCATTACCGGATATAAGATATTTACAGCATCTCGTTGCTGTTTCCACCGGATAACAGGGTCATTGAATTTCTCTGCCAACTTATAAAAAGTGTTCAAAAGTTCAGGGCTTAAGCTTCCTTGTTTAGCACGCTCTAAATTGCGCGTAATTTTATTTAAATTATCAATTTCCGTTTCACTCGACCCAGCAACTATTGTGCTAGTCGAGGCTGATTGGGTACAACTTTGCCGGCTAGAGTCTTTGGAATTAGGGTAATTACTGTCAACTATTGATCCAATAGTCCGAGTTTTATCTCCTATTTTAGTTTTTTTGGCAGGATTTTCTTTGGCATTATTACTTGTACAAATAGTGTTGAAGCTTGATTCTGGTTCCTCTGCCGGAAAGTTTCTCTTACGAGAGGCAGCAACAAACATTTTGATTAATGTATTTAAAAATTTCGCGTACAGAGAATTCTTATGCATATTTTCGTATATCACGTGTGATTTACATGAAATTTTCAGCTTAGAAAAGGATTGCATTCACAAATTACTGCTCTTGCAAGGAAAGAAAATGCTGATCCTACGACCAAACCGAGAATTAACGAAAATCCCAATATCCCTCCAGCGATATCTCTTTCATTATCAGGTACCATTTGTGGTCCTGCCATCATTACTGATGAACCCAAATATCCACCTGTGACTGCAAACAGCATCAGAAAGGAAAAGTACAACATATCGTTCTTTATCAATAAGGGAAATGACTGTGATACAGAATTCCCGGCATCGACATTACATGTCAAGAAAATCGGCACAAAAATCAATCGGAAAAGCGAAAATATAGCCAACTTTCTTTGACTTGCAATCATGAGACAATCCAATCCTGGCAAATTACGACCGATCAAGTCACCACCATTGAATATTAGAAAATGGATTGGGATGAATAAGTAATCTTGTTGAAATTTTTGTCGATCTCCTGGTTTCACTACTGATTTGATGGATGCGGTGATTGATGGAAAAAGTGCTAAAGTCACAACGAATGCTAATAATACAGCGCATGCCAATAATGGTATTCTGTTGAGTGTCTTAGAGAGAAATCTGGCTTGTTCGGTGATGGAAGAATCCGTGGAATTTGTCCCATCGAAAACATCAGATTGCTGTTTACTGCGAAAAGTGTAATAGTGATAAGTCGGCAACCGTATAAGAATGGAGAAGGAAATCAAAGCAGCTACAGCGACTGCCAACGTAAATACAAAGTAATATTTTGCGCCACGAGTCAAGTCTTCTAAGGTTGGTGTTGCTTCTTGATTTGAAGATGTTTCAGTGGCTAATGCAGCCATGATTTGAGTAATAGATACGGTAATACCAGCCACACCTACGAAGAAATCATTCATGTTTAGATTTTTGGAACACGTATATTACAAAGAAAATATAATTATTACCTTGTCCACTAAACAATATAAATATAAAGAAACAGAGTTGTTAATGATTTCAAATCAACATCATCATCAAACATAAAAAATACCTCATCACAGCCTGCATATGGATAGGAGCGAATTGGGAAGCAAGGGCAAAGATCCCATTTTGAATCCATGAAGTTGTAGCACCCGTGATTAAAAGCATACACATACTAAAGTAAAAATAACCCGAAGGCGAAAATGAATCCACACAAAGGGTCGAAATAGCCATCGAAGAGAATACTAGAACATTAATTATGAGTGAAAAGACTATTCGACGGAATATATCCGCCTATTTCTTCAATAGTTTATTTAATTATCAACAAAGCAAAATGTAATTACTTATGTATAGAAATTCGTTTTTTACGCGTACCTTTCTCTGTGTATATAAAGCTTGTCCAAAAAAGATCAGATTAAACAACGTAAACCCAATCGAGAAATAATTTTGGAAATTATGAGCATATGGTGATCCAGAGAATTTAGCGCGAAAGAATTCCGATGACGTTATAAAAGCTAAAGAGATTTTGGGTTATCTGGTTCGAAATCGACAGGCAAATAAAAATCATTTATTGGACGACCATCTTCGATAATATCATACCGTTCCATGGTAGTAACATTGCGAGTCCCTGTATCAAGAAAATCCAATAGACTAGTTTGTATCTATCCACGGGCACGTTGTTCGGAATATTAGAAAGACCACCTCTCATTAAGTCATCGTCCTGATTCTCTTGCCCGACAATAGGTGTACCTGAACGAATGGGTTCATATTGGGGGTGGCGAGAATTAACCACAAGAAATTTATCGTATATAAATTTTACTAAGCTTGCCATGATAAATAAATAGACTGGTTAACGTTAAATGCATTTCACAAAACATGATATGATCAATTGGCATTTCATCAATAAATCGGTGATTGGTAACAAGATTTATACTGTACAGTACTATTGGTTAGTCAATAATTTAATAGAATGTCGCTTTCACACATTTTTGTTCCGCGAAATCGTAAAGTAGATTTCACGGTAGATATTTCGATAGAAGATCTTGCTAATGTACCATTAGTGACTGGGCTGTTCTATGTAAAGTGGAAACTACAACATGCAGAAAAGTCGAGTGGCTCTACTGAACGGTATGTAATGTATTTTAATAATGAAAGAAAACGTAAAAGTTGTTCGTTTTTCTCTTATTTATTCTCACCAGGTGTTTTCTCCACTAGAGCTTTCATTAAAGACTACTCTGTATTTTGGAACCATAATTTGTCAAATAAGATACAGTTAGTTGTAGGAAGCGACGGATATTTGATGCCTTGCGAATTTCGGCTAACTATAAAACAAGTATTGTTCGCTTTAATATAAATATCTTTATTACCTTCGATAAATAATTTCTCACGCGGCGTTCTCTTTAATTATTCGTATTGATTTTTTTGTTGAAGGAGTTAAAGGGAGGCAAAGAAATAAACACAATAGGTTCTTTATCGTTAAATCTTTCCGAGTATGTCGATTCAGGTAAAATGACGCGTCGATATTTATTACAAAAGAGTAAGATCAACTCGACAATAAAGGTATCTATGATTTCACACGAAAATATTAATATGAATAATTCTCATTCGTTAATTTTTTTTATAAAATTAGTTGTCAATTGAAACAAAGCATACTACTTTTGGTGACGTGGAATATAAAGTGTAGGTAATTTATTCCAATTTCTGGTGATATCATTTTTCATGATCAAATAAATATTGAACTTGAATATGTTTCAAAAAATATATTATTAATAGGCCACAATTAAAAAAGACTCAAATATTTGGAGGTATCACCGGTATAATAACAGAACGGAAGGAACTTCAAGATGATGAAAGATCAAGTAATTAATTATTATTACTATCTTATATTATTGTTATTTTTAGAAGGCTAACATTTTATTATGATAGAACGAGCTTTTAAAAATAGATCGAATTTTGGACCACATTATCTCGCGAAGTCACGTTCAACAACTTCTTTGGTAACAAATATATTTATTATTCTCGTCGTAAATAAATGGAGTAATTAATTGATTTTTCTTATGTTTTTTTATAGAGATCGTCAGATTACGCACAATCACCTCTTTTTTCACCCATAGTAACATCCTCTCTAGCAGAAAACTCGTTTCTTCGTGACGCAGGAGAACGATCGCCAACTGATGTGGTGGAAGATATATTTGCAAATATATACGTGCACGCACCCGATGATGACGGTAGTGATAGTGATAATAAAAAGCAGAAAAAGTGATATTAAAAAAAATGTACAGATCGACGGGATTTCTTTCGCTTCTAACAGATACAATGAACAATTGGCTCCTAAAATTTCATTTTTTTTTCGAAATATTCATCTTAATTTATTTTCATTTTAAATTGTATTATAGCTTTCATATATTCATAAATACATTATTGACCTCTGCATAAAAGTAGAAATTACGTCTATGGATGATTTATATCCTGTTATTTTTGCAAAAAATGTCCAATAAATATGAATGATTTACAAGTCAAAAGAAGTCTATAATTACTATCAGTATCTTTAATTCTTTAAGATAATCAGTATCCAATATCCAAATCAATGAAATCCTTTGAATAAAAGTTATGGAATCATATATATCGATAAAAAGTAATAATTTATTTAGAACGAAAAAGTGCAATGGGTATGGTCCATTCTTTTATTATTCAATATGTTGAATTGCATATTAATCTCAGTATAATATAAATCCATACTTTTAAATTCATCAGAATAGATTATTTGGGTCGCACCTAAAATGATCTCCTTCTACTGCTTCTCGCTCCTCTCTTTTATTTGACAGTCCCTTAGATTTTGATAAAGACAAGCATTAACGATACCAATCGGAATGTCATGTAACTCTGGTACAAAGTCGTCAGTAATACCAGACAATTGAGATAGATTTTGACCGACATTGGCATGATCGTCTGAAAATGGTAAATTGCCCCAGACAATAATTACATGATTTTTCATTAACAACAAATTATCAGAACAGTTCGTACCTGTGATTGTATTGAATGAATCTAATGGTGCAGTGTTTAAAAAGTTAATCGATACGAAAGCGATGTAAATAAACAGGATCAAGACATAAGTCCAGACGGGTAAAGCCAGTGCCCAATATCTATTATTATTACACGACAATCACGATAAATATAATTTGCCAAATTTATCCTTAACTTTTTTACTTACCTACTCGGATAATAAGTTATTCCTAGTGATATCAAAGCGTCGTCAGGTAAATATGCCCATAATAAATAAATCACTGGGACAAGTCAAATCTCTATTAATTCTGGATGCATTAATTAATTCTTACAATAACCTCTTAAATAAATAGATACATACCAAAAGCAATAAACGATACAAGATATAGCACAAAGCCATAATACTCGTATGTTGGTGTCTTGGTCAAAGTTGTAGGTGATTCATCATTCTGAAAAAAATTAAAAGTACTAAGAACGATAATTGCATTGTAATAATACGGATCAATTCTTAAAGATGCAAATCAAATCAAAAAGAAAGTGTAGCGAATGAATCGAATTTACCCAATATGAAAACTCGAATTCCGTTCTGAAGTGGTTGTTGACGGAGATGTCGTGTCTTTTGCACCAAGAAAACTGCTATATGATGCAGTTCTTTTTATACTATTGAAAAATCATAGCAAATAATAAACAACATGAAAAAGAGTATCAGAATCAAGGATTCAAGAAATATACATTCTGCTTTACCCGCTGGGTCGAGACAACTTGGGTAAAAAAGGTGAATTTGAAGAATGTTGTGATGAGCTATGAGTTTTTCCTTTTGGAGGAAAGTATTTTTCAGTCGTAGACGATAAAATACTATTAACACTTTGGGGTCGAGGTTTTTCCGTTGAAACAGAGTCTAAATCGTCCATTAATAGAAACCAAGATTGTACGCGTACATTTACGTTTATTATCGTTATAGTATTTTGGTGCATAAATTTGATTGGTTATGTAAATCTTTCACAGACGGGAACAATTCAATCACTAGCGAAAACTAAACAAGATACATAATATTTTCGAGGCAAACAAAGAATCAAGAATCAATATTCACCACCCTCTAACATCTTTGTCCAATCCCATTTTTTCCATTTCTTTAAAAAATCTTGAATGCGTTGATGACGATGACTATCTCGATGATTTAATTTCTTCGGTCGTCGCCAAACATCAGGAGGGAGATCACAAATTCCGGCGACTATTTCCTGTGTGTGGCAAGAAAGGAAAGGTTGGTTTTATTGCTCTATTGACTAAAGTTTACGCAGTAATATAAAAAGATACCTTTCCAAACCAAGCTGGGAATTTTCGATCATTTTCGATTACATGCCCAAAGCCTTTGTCTAAACCAAACCAGACATGAAAATAAGGTAATTCTTTGACCATAGATTGACGGAATCCTCGTTCTTTGGTCGTGTTTATTAATTTTTTATTCTGAGACCAATCTCCTTCGCTTGATAAAATGGCTTCCTAAAAATATTCTCAGATTTTAGAATTTATCGACAGACTAGATCTGAGAAACTGTTACTAACCTTAAAGTAAGCGGGTGCATCGTCAAGTAAATCTATTGGCATGGGAATACATTCAATATATGTATGCTTTTGCCATTTTAAATTTACTACCGTCTCCATAAAAATTACGCCTCGATTCTCTTCAGCAAACATTTGAATCAAACATTTCATGAAATTCTGTAATTGAAGATAAAAAAATTCAGAATTGTTCCGCAATTAGCTAATTAATTAATTAAAGTGATTAATTTACCCGTATTTCGTCCCAAACATCATCTTCACAATCTAAAGTAGTCAAACAATGTTCGACAGGCACAATCAAACAATGACCTTCACACATTTCTTTGACGCTAGGTAATGCAAGATATGTTTTTACTCCTAAGGAAACCATCTGTGCTTGTGGTAGTGAATTATCTTTAAGACAATACGCACATCCTTCAATAGCTTGTTTTGATTTCTCGTGATCTTTTATTATGATAGAAAACTAAAAGTTAGCCTGGAACAAGTATTTAAATTACGTGAACGGGTTGCTCAACACGAAAAATTACCTCTAATAACGAATTCACGTTTTTGTTGTGCAGTTTTTTCCGTGGTCTTGGCAATCTTATCAGCTTGCTCGTCCATATACTCTAAATCATCCTACATATTAAATAAGATCAATTAATTTTTTGAAATTTAAAAACCGTATTACCGTATCCTACCAATTTTAAGTACCACTTCACATTTTATTACCAACAAGAAATAAGCACCACTTAAAATATTTGGTAAATTTCACTAAGTTTCGCTCAATTTAAAAGTTATTATATTTTATTGTAACTAAAAACATACCATACTATTCGACAAAGAAAAACCCTGCTGAAAATATTGCCTAAAATGCTCATTTTTGTGACGCTTAATTTTGGTAGGATACGGTAGCACATAATTTCTACCTTGAATGTCGAATCCTTAATAATTCTACTGGCTACTTGTGAGTCCATACTTTCTCGAAACCCTAATCGCTCTTGACGCACCAAATCTTCTAATGTAAGCGCATCATCATCTTTATGGTATCTAATACGTTTCCCGCTTTCATCGTGTGTCTCATACTTTTTATATAATAATAGAAATTTAGTTGATACAAATCTGATTATTCAACGTGAATTCAGAAATAATTTTTGTGTTTATATATTATACCTTTTCTTTTTTACGACGTGCTGATACTGAATGCTTTGATGTTTCTGCACTCGCTAAATCACCAGTATCGTAGATTCGACCACGACTATCGATCATAGGCAATATTTCTGTTTTGGACTACAATAATCGTAAAAGTAGGTATGGGTAAAGATTACGTGGAATCGAAGAATTTCGAAAAACTCTATTATATGTACACACATTGTTCCTATTTTCAAATCTTTTTTTCTCTTTTTGAAACTCTTCCTCGAGTGAATCTGCGTCCGGTAGCCCTAACATACTTGCGCGTAAAGCTTTAGCTTGTAGTTTATTAAGCTCATCTTCCGATAACACTGAATTCGTAGGAATGGGAGTTATGGTAAAAGAGGGTTTTGAAGTAGTCTCAGGTTTTGTAGTTTCCCTTGTAGAAGAATTGGTTCGAGGTCGTTTTCTTGAGGCTTCGTTAACTTGCACGATGGAACTTTCCTCATTGTCGTTATATTGTGGTTTTTTGAAAGAAGCAAAACTGAGGGGATTTCGGAAATCCGTGAATACGGTCCTTTGTTCCGGCTTGTCTATCAATGTTTCTTTACCCACCGAAGACGAAAAAGCTTTTACCTTTGGTAATAACTCTACATGTTTCTCAACCCACATGACCTCTTGTGGGACTTCCTCAGACTCGGAATTACTACTACTACTACTATAGTCATCCCGTTCGGATTTCTCGCGATGTGCCCTTCTCTTTTCGTGTTTATGCTTTTTATGTTTGTGTTTATGTGATTTCTTTTTCTTCGAGTCTTTATCGGTTTTCTTTGATTTTTTGGAACTTGAAGTTAGATCCATGAAGTTAATTATACATTAGCAAACCATCATCACTTCGTGATCCATAAATAGTATTAGTTCAAAAACGTGATGATGTAGACACTATATGAACTTCTGAAGTTTTGTCGAGCCCGGAAAATTTTACTCCAATGTTAAATATACATTTTCCGTGCGTAATTATAATCTGTGCTCGGTTCCTGATCACATGCACAAACCAATAAGGATGCGCAAATTTTTGATCAGCCCGGCAAAACAAATCCGACACAAAAAAATGAAAAACACGGGAAACGGAGTTGGGAAGGCAATTTTAACCCTTAGTTGCCGGCACACATTTGATTTGCGCATTCTTATTGGTTTATTATCATGTGATCGCGAACTGAGCACAGATTATAATTATATTATTCAGTAAGCTAGCTTAAAATCAGCTGATATCATTTAACTTGAATATTCATATTTAGCCATTATTCAAACATTTGGCTCCAAGATACAGGTATCAATAGCACAAAACTTACTAAAGCATGAATGCTTGGATTTTTATACAAGCTGCCAACTTCAGTCTTTAATGCTATATCAGAGAGGAACTTATCACTCAAATATGAGATCGATGGGATGGAAGAAACAATCTGTCGTGTGCCTTGCATTGACAATCGATGGGCAAGTAAAATTCGATACAATGGTATGTCCTAATTTACCATTTGACTTGAAAAATCGGGAATGCGAAAAAGGATGGACAAAGCGCTTCAGTAATAGTAACTTTAAAATTTGCCAAAGTAGTATTTATGCGTAAGCTCTCCACCCGAGGCAATGCATTGCAAACCACCATCTTGTTTGATGCGAACTATCAGCTTTTAGTATTTACCTTAGAGCACTACCTACAGTGATTAAGGACCGGGTATACTACACGAAATCAATAACCAAAATTGTAAAGTACTCGGATATTATTCAAATTATAATTGATCATATTTTGAATAAGACCTGGGCACTTTACATGCTTACCCCCGGGGTACTATGGCAGTGCTCTGGTAATTATTAAGACCATGCTCTTGGAGATTTACTTGTTATTGAAGCAAAGATATACTGTATCTGATATTTACGGCTTTAGGTTTCTCATTCGGACGAAAACTAAAGGCTTAAAGGCTAACACTGGTGTTGACTCTCACTTCATAAATTCCCAAGATCGAAAAAAATTTATTGATAATGTCAAATTTGAATCTTCGCTTGTATCAATACTACCGTTACTTCTCTCTTAATCAACTTCCATTTTAGGAGTCTTAAATTAATTCAACTTTTGTTCTTCCTGCTCCTAATTTTATCTTTTAGCCGAAGATTATCGAAGAGGTTTTCTATGGTTCCACCTTTTTCTTTGCTCCATAGCCCAAGAACTTTGATTTCTTTGTCGAATTTTTAGTTTTTCGAGTTAATATTTTGTGGGAGGTCATTGAACAAAGTATTCGAATGAGATTGAATAAAAAGGTGATGAATTGCGAGATTTTTGCATCCAAAATTTTTTTGACTACTGCACGACATATCTTGTATCCTTTTGCTCGACAATACGAAATACTGCAACAAAGTTACTTGGAGAAATAATCCAGAATCATGTAGCATTCGCCCAATCGTATAACAAAAATAACAAACTTGCAATTTACAAAAATCGTGCAGGTCTCAATTATAATTGAATAATTGCGTGTATCAGTCTCATGTTCTAGTCCATAATAAGTAGTAGCACAACGAGAAGTCCACTTAACTTGGGTAACTAATTTTCTGTATTTAGAAATATCATCTGCTCTCACCACTTACCTATTATTCCACCATTGTATGAGCAAGCCATCAATCTATATTTCTCTTCGTATAATCGTCTAGTCAAGAATATAGATGACTGACCAGTGTCTTGTAGTGTGGATAGACTATTGATTCGATGTCAATGTTTGGCTGAATACTCAGCAAGCCAATCTAGAAAGTTATTTAATGTGGATGTTAAGTGTAAATGAATATTATAAGGTTCGAGAGATTGGTGAGGTGGTCTGATCTTAAGTCGAGTCCACGTGTATCCGGATCGACATGATAGATTCTGTAAAAGAAACCAAAATTGGAAATACCTAAATCAAATAAATTAATATCATTTTAAATAATGTGGCTGCGGATCCAAGTTATTTTGTTGTATCACACAATCTAGTATGTATTTGTGTTACCTCGAAATATACCCTAATCTGATTTGAATCTTAATCGCTTGACAAATAATTTTACCACAGATTAGAACCATTGGAGTTCTTTACGTGATGGATATGGGTGGATGGATGGAAAATAAAATCTTCTTTCTTCCCATTTGACTTGATCGAGAGATATTTATGGGAGGTTTTTTCTTGGAGAACGAAATTTTGAGGAATGTTTGATTTCTTGGAAACAAGCATTCGATAGATATTTCTTTCTTGGTTTGCTTCATAAGGATATTCAAAGAGAGAGAGAGAGAGAGAGAGAGAGAGAGAGAGAGAGAGAGAGAGAGAGAGAGGGGTGGATTTGAAGAATTTGACCGTGTGATGATGACATTTTTTGAAAATAGTTTTCCCCCTAGGAAATAGAGACCCGCCTTCTTCATTTATTTCAGAAACTTCTTTTGAAACAATTCTTCTGTCCCAAACTTAATATATATATACACTATATATATATATCGCATAGTAAGCATTAAAAAATGGTTCACTATAATAATAAAATGAAATTATATGCTATTTATTTGGAATACCTACTGCTGCTATTATGATATTATGATAATAATAGAACGAGGATGGGTAGGAAAGGGAAGGTAGAAAATAAAAAGCAGCAGCAAGTAGCAGTAAAGCAACAACAATAACAATTGAATTATTTTTTTCTCAGTATTTATAAAAATGGGCAAAAATGTTCACTTCACCTAGCCAATTAATATCTACCACATGAATACTTCGCAAATTATTTTGAGCTTGTCCAGGGTAATTCTTCTTTTTTCGAGAAAACCACCAACCCAATGCAGTTTGAATGATTGATTGATTTCTTCCTTCTTGCAATTTCAAGACTATTAATTGGAAAGAGAAGCAACAAGATATAATGCTAAAAAGCTAGATTGAAAAGAATTTTTGAATAATCGAAAAAGAAAAGTGGAGGTAATGATAAATGATAATAGCATATAGTTGATATTATCCTTAAATATATGAATTCCACCAATTAGAGTCAGAAAGTCAAATTTAAAACAAAAAATTAACGATTAACAAAGTAAAACATTGAATATTTTAAATTTACCATTTATATATGTGTGTGTGTATATATATAAAATAAGACTAGCTTCGAGATCGTCTGGATCGACTAGGCGATCTTCTTCTTGAGTAACTACGACTTCGAGATCGTCCTCTATCCCTTGACCAACTACGACTACGGGTGCGTGAACGAATTCTTCTAGAGCGGTAGCGCGGCGGTGAATAGGAAGGTGATCGCCGGTACGTTGTACCGCGGCGAGAGACATATGACCCCCTGGATTCATCACCCATGTATTTACCTGGAGTTGGAGTGTGAGCCTTGCGCGTTAAAGAAAAATCGACACGCATATTCTTGCCATTAAGTTCCTAATCGAAATAATGTAAATTTCAGCAATCAATCAGATTCTTTAGACCGAGTAAAAATTTAAAGTAAATACCATTCCGTTTGTTTTATCTTTTGCATTATAAGCATCGTGAATAGAATCCATGTAGACAAAGCCAAATCCACGAGAGCGTTCAGTCTTTTATTGAATACACAAATTAGTGAGATAATTACAGCACCGAGCTTACTAGATAACGTGTGGGTGAGTCATAATATACTTACCCGGTGGTCATAAACAATTATAACTTCATTAACCTTTCCATATTGTTCGAAAATGTGTTTTAAGTCACGCTCTTCAGTTCGAAGACTCAGATTAAAGACTCCCAATACGCGGCTTGGTTCAGGCTCCTTAAATGGCAAACAATAAGGTTGAATTGATCGACTAGCATATAAGTAAATTAAATATAAAATTTACATCTCTGATATCTCTTCTGCTTCTTCTTCTACCACGACTAGGACTAGTACTACGTTCTCGACTATAACGACTCCTAACAGCGGTACTTTTATCTCCACGACTTCGAGATCTAAAGAAAAATATTATCACTATCTGTTTACGGACAAAAATAAATGAATAAAAATGAATTCGATACCATTAAAATTACCTTCGACGCCTATCTCTGCTTTTCGAGTGACTTCTACTTGAGGAGGTCCTTGAATGAGAACGACGCTTATGACGTCGTGAAGAACGCCCTGGTTTTTTGGGAGACCGACTTCTTGAGACTGTGCGTCGACGACTCCGTGAACCTGAGCGCATTCTCGAGCGAGAGCTTTGACGTTCGCGTTTTGTTGTTGTTCCAGAGTCTCGTTTCTTTTCTGAAGATTCTTGTTTTATTTCCACTGCTGGTGATGGAGCTGGCAATGGGACAAACGTCTCGTCTTTGGAATTATTTTTTGGTGGTACAAAAATATCTTCCGCCGGTTTTTGTCGCTGTCAAATACAAGAGTAATTAGGCTTGTTTATTTGACTTCAGACTTTAATTACAAGCGTCAAAACATACTACAAAGTTTGGAGGTGGCGATGGCCCGTGAAGTTGGCCATTATGTTCAATTTTCGTCGGAGTTGTTGTCACGACACCTGCCATTATTTATAATAGCCTTGTCTCAAGAACAAGGTATAATGATAATAATAGAAAAAATATTCAATCAAAATAGATTTCATTCAACATGCCCTCAGACGTCTTATTGGTTACAAAGATCAAGTCGGCTTACACAGTTTTATATTCTGTCACATGATTATGGTGGTGAATAGCGAAATAGCTCACTTTTTTGATGATACACGTAACCAAAAATAAAAAATAAAAAAGCACTCTTTACTTTCAACCATCATGGAATGTCTCTTTGGCTTAGTGGGTAAAGACTTTGCAATAACCGTGTCAGATGCTACTTCTATACAGTCAATCGTGGTCATGAAACATACAGAAGATAAATCACGAAACCTTAACAAACACATAATAATGTTGTATGCTGGAGAGCCGGGTGATACTGTTAATTTTGCCGAATACATTCAAAGAAATGTGAGATTTTATGAAATCAAGAATGGTATCGAGTTATCTCCACAGGCTGCCGCAAAATTTACAAGGCGTCAGGTGGCAGAAAGTTTGCGAAGTCGGGTAGGTTTCTCTGGATATTTCTAAAAATTAGGCAATGTAGTAGACATTGTGTTTGTGTAAATCAGCTGATAATAATGAATTGAAGCAAATTTTGATGAAAATCTATTATTCCCTTTATTAATACTGCCATTTTATAGCTTAAATCTTAATCTCAAAATACCAATATATTAATGCTAATAATACCAATACTAATAATACTAATCCTAACAGCAACCGTACTCGGTGAACCTTCTCATCGCCGGGTATGACGTGAAAACTGAAGCCAGTCAACTTTACTGGATCGACTACCTGGGCTCATTAATTGAGATCCCCTTCGCGGCACACGGATATGGCGCGTACTACGTGACGTCGGTCTTGGATAGATATTATTATCCGCAAATTTCACTTGACGAGGCTAAAGTTTTGATTAAAAAGTGTATAGACGAGTTGAAGACTCGATTTTTTATTAATTTATCGAATTTCAAGATCAAGGTATCAAATAAGGATGGTATTCAAGAGATTGTACTTTGATGAAATCAAATGAATGCCGGTGATAGTAGGAATAATATTGATAGAATCATCAAATTCGAAGATATAATTACCACTAAATAAAATCAAAACTTTTGCTTATTTATTATTATAATAATAATTCTGTATTTTATTTATATCCATATTCGATATTCTTAGTGTGAGATTATGAGACTAAATATTGTCTATACACAGAAACTCATTTATGCTTAACGTTAATGTTTTTACCACCACGGCTATGGTCACTATAATCCAAAAATAGAATTTTCAAGGATTGCGATCCATTAGCCGCAGTCTTGTCACAAGTGAATAAGAGTTATCAAATCCTTGTCGTAAAAACCACGTGGTAGACGTTACTGTCATAAGTATTCAATTATCTCTGCTTACTATTGTCGTAAAGTGTAGAAAAATAAAGAAATGGCAATGCGGGCAATGCCAGAAATAATTGAAGCAACAGACTACAAACTTGTGCAACAACAAACACCACATTCTACTAATCATGGTCTAAAGAACCTACAAATTCAAGTTTTGGGTGTCCCGCAAACGGGTGCGAAGTCTCGTGTGGAAACTCAGATAAAACTATGCCTACAACTTGTCACCGATAAAGGTGAAAAAGTGCCTCTGTGGTCGCATTTGCGGCTTCCAGAATACATGGTGGCCAAGGAGAAACTTAAAACGAAAAATGCGAGAAATAATCAAGGACAATCAATGAATATCGTGGAGAAGAGTGTACTTAATCTTGAGGCTAATGTGATTTGTGCGAGTGACGCTAAAAAAGTTCTTACTTGTCTTGGGTGTGTTCAACGTGAGGTAAGCAATTTAATTTTCTGATTCTATTATGCTCGTTATTAATTTATGTTTTCTTTTACAAAATATTCATATTGATTTTCTTTACAAAATATTCATATTCGTAATTCAAATCGTATAAATCATCAAGAGAAAAAGATCACAGCGAAAAAAGGAACACAAACTCGCCAAAGCAAATGCAAATGCTAACGGCGTTTCGGTTAATGAGGAATCTAATAACAATAATAACAATAACAACAATAATAGCAATAATAATAAGTCGTTAGATCTCGATGATGAAAAATCCCTACAATTGGAGCAAAGAAAAATTTTGTTGTTTAATTGTAGTGAGATTGTAGATTTTAGTAGTGGAGATACAATTTTACCAACACGAATCACTTGTTATTGTCGTCACCACAATGAAAAAGTTGGATTCTGGTAAGTATTTCGAAATCTCGCAGTTGATTTTTATTACTTGATCTAATATTTTTATTTTTTTCATAGCATATATTTCGTCATGAAAGATTATACAAATACTGTGATTGCGTCTGGCGTATCTCCCGCCATTATGATAACAGATGATCATAAATCTTCAAAGACAAAAGTTGGTTCACGTATGAAAAGAGCTCGAGGAGATTATGGTCGACGAAACTCCACGATTCACCCGGATATTCCAAAGTCTCCTCGAGGATTAATGTCGCCTCCGATTGTGAACATAGCATCTAATGGGTGTTTTTCAGAACCTTCATCCCCAATCTCTATGATCTCATCACAGCCTTCCTGTTTAACGTCGACTACTCAACAGCAGGCTATTAAGCAAGAAGAATCTAATAATAATAGTAATAGTAATAATAATAATAATAATAACAACAACAGCCATAATAATAACAACAACAACAACAATAATAGCAAAATTACACAACATCAAATACAATCGATGATATTTACTACACCTTCCTCTCTCTCACCTCACACTCCAATTTCTCCATTGTCTCCATCACCCTCTTGCGATAACACATTCGAAAACTCCTTTCAGCTTCCTCAGCATCTTGACAATACTGCAGCAACAGTTAACACAATTCCATTCCCTCTTGTTAATGCTAATGATCCAAATAATGTGCTAGTAAATCTTTCATTATCAAATCCAATCAATAATCTAAATACCCTTTACCAGCCAGTTCAATTACACCAAAATATGAATGCTGCGAATCAATTCATAATTAATTCTCCTCATCAAGGAAACACAGGTGGTGGAATGCTATTGCACAATTCTAATGCGATGCTCCGACCAACCAACTTTTTCAATGGACCCACCAATCACAATGTCTCCATGTTTCCGGATACTATTAATGGATATGCTATTCCAAGGATAAGCAGGTTGATTCCGTCAAGTGGACCAACACGTGGTGGCATCGAAGTTACTATATTAGGAACCAATTTCTTTGGTAAATTGATTATTTTTAAATGATAATGTTGACATTATGTGTGTATCAAGCTGCTAATAAATATCTCTTTCTTGTCTTTCATAATATTAGATGGATTGACTTGTATGTTTGGAGATACTCCTGCAATCCCTACTCAATATTGGGGTGATTCGACACTTATTTGCTTGCTTCCTCCTGCAATCACCCCTGGACCAGTCATTATGAGTTTCAAAGAATTCCCAATAAACGTGTTCGACTCTACCGAAAATGATCTTGTTTTTTTCACCTACAATGATGGTAAATATCAATTTGTAATTAAGATCTAATGATAGAATACTAATTTGCATTTCTCTTTACAAGATTCGGATCGTGCTCTGATGGAATTAGCTCTTCGATATGTTGGACTGAAAATGACTGGAAAATTTGAGGATGCTCGAAATATTGCAATGCGCATTGTTGGAAGTGAAAATGATGATGGTCAATCTGGGCAATCTTCTGGTAATGGCAATATGAACGGAATGACCAACAATAATAATCTCTCATCTGCTCTACAAGAAGCCTCAATGTCCAACAATCTCGAAGAGCATATTATCAAAACTTTAAGTATAGTCGATGTCTATGAAACAGAGCACCCCAACAATATATCATTACAGAATGTCACAAAGCATACGATGTTACATCTCGCTGTACTGCTCAACTTTGAACAACTCGCCGCAAATCTTATAGAGAGGGGAATTAATCTTAATGCTATAGATCATTACGGATTCACGGGTGAGCAACAAGTCACTAACAACAGAATGTTAAATTTTTATATCGAGTAATCCGTGACTGATATACCAATTTTTCTATTAAAGCTCTTCATTATGCCGCGTGGACTGGTAAAACCGAAATAGTTAGACTATTATTGGCAGGTTTGGATTCTTGACAAATTTTAGTCTCTTACAACTGAACTGAACAGTCATAGTTAAGCTATAAACTTTAAATTTGTTGTACATTTGATATTAAAAAATAATTGTAGCTGGTTCTGGCGATGTCATTAGAAACTATAATGATCAATGTGCTGTTGATTTAGCACGTATTGGTCGTTACGAAGATATAGTGAACTTGATTGATCATTATCAACATGACTCTGGTGTATCTTTATCACCTACTTCTTCCGACGAGACATCCACACTAGATTATGACGAAGATTGGGACGACGATAGTGATAGTGATGAAAAAGAACCACAAAAAACATTGGATAATGAAAATTCATCAAATGATAATAGGAATATTTTAGAAAATAACACGTCTATAGTGGAGTCAAAGAATGAAGCCGGGGCACAATTAGAAGAAACTAACACACCTAATATTGAGTGGGTAGATTCCAAAACAGCTACCAAATTACTGCTGCAAGAACAGGCTCACATTAATGACGAAATTCCCATTGCCGAACCTATAGAAGATGATAAAAAACCAAAACAACCTCTTGCTGACCTCGCAAATGTTTCCTCGATTTGGCTTCAAAAGACTTTTGCTCATTTACACATGCCAACGCTCAGCAAACCTTCACAGATAAACATTCAGTTACCAAATATCAAGATGCCTCATCTCCAAATGCCAAATATTAATATGCCACAAAAATTTTCGACCATGACTTTTACTCCAAATCTATCATCTCTTCCACGGCCTTCAATGCCATCTATGCCTTCTTTGTACATGAATCTTGAATTCCCTACGTTGCCTGCATTCCCTGCTATAATACCCTCAGGGTTCCCAGGTTTCGTGAAGGATAATCATTCGGCTGCTGTGAATGGAAAAGGAAGCAACATAGCAGCAAATTCTGGTGGATTTGAAAATTTGAAATTCGGAAGCAACTTTTATTGGGATCATTACAAAAGAATGTTGTGGCAAGGAACGGCTCAAAATACGCCTCAACCTAAACAAAAAGCTGACGATGCACCTGCTGGTCAAGATGGTATTGGATTTTTACGCTTCGGTGGTTACACTTGGCCACTATTCACACCTCCAACACCAACGTCGCCACTACCACCAGCACACCCACGTGTCCCTATGTATCCACACAGGCCATCTGAGGAACGAGGATCTTCTATTTCATTAAGGCATGCTAGTCGAAGAGTAGGCTTTAATGTTGATTCAATTAATGATGAACAAAGTATTACATACGAAAGACATGAACAAAAAGTCAGGAGACTAAAACAGGATCGCATGTTATATCTATTTTGGGTGCCTGCATTATTGTGTAAGTAATCCACTTATTATCTGTTCTATTATATTTAATCAGTAATTCAATTAATTTATTTATTGGTTTTTACGTAGTGATGCTTGCGTTGGCCTATGTTCATTATGGAATTGGGATATGATGTCTATTTATTACATCTAGTTTATTACTATTTTAGTTATTTCAGTATATAGATATCCATACAAACATTTTATCACGATCATGCGTGTACATTATTCTTTTTTTTTTTCTTCACACAAACACACACACACAAACACACACACACACACACACACACATATATCACACACACATTAATGTATTTTGAGTGTAATAACAACTTTTCTGGATCTTGTTCCATATAGATCCGAATTAAACCATCATATATAGAAGTTAACTAAATAAATCATTTTATTATCGATTTTTTTGTGTAGCAATCGCGAATTGAACCAACAACAGTTTTTGAGATTCTGTGTTTTCTACCAATAGACTAACATGTTGCCGAAAGTTCTACAATAGTTAGATTAACTATAATTATAAAATGTCTTGTAATCTTTGCGGAGGAACCGAATTTGATTATGATACCTCGTCGGGACAGACTGCTTGTCAGTCTTGCGGTAATGTAAGTATCAACTAATTTTAACGCTTAAAGGTTAAACGTGTCATTTATCTATATTATCATTCTTTTAAACTAGGTAATAGACGAAAGTCGAATTGTTGCAGAGATCACTTTTGGAGAAGCCTCTTCGGGAGCTGCGGTCCCTCAAGGAACTTATATAGGCAGCGACCAAAGTAAACTAATTACGAACAGCTAATAGTTTCTTTTTGATTTTCTTCGTACACTATAAAAAATTAATTATATCTATTGGAACTTGTGAATCAAGGACGAGCCCGAATAAATGGGCCATATAGGAAACACTCGGAACCTCGGGAGCAGACTATCAAGCGAGGTTTCAAGCCAAAAATTCTTTAATTTCTATCTTTTCGCTCTTTTATATTAAGCTTGATCAAATTTTTAGGACGCTCAAAAATAAATAGTATAGCTACAGCACTGGGATTAAGCCCACATCATTCTGAGACGGCACAAAGATATTTTAATTTAGCGATTGCCAACAATTTTATACAAGGTCGAAGTACTGAATTAGTTGTTGCCGCTTGTGTATACATTGTTTGTCGTAAAGAGAAGACATGTCATATGTTGATCGATTTGGCAGATGTTTTACAGGTATTTATTGCTTTAAATCCAATAGTATACATGATTACGAAAATACGTCTCGAAGTAATAATTTTTCTCATAATAATTAAAAAAAAAAGACAAATGTTTTTACACTGGGAAGCACATTTCTAAAGCTTGTCCGAGAACTCCATATGAAACTTCCATTAGTTGATCCATCACTGTATATAACACGCTTTGCCCAATTACTTGAGTTTGGTGATGAAGCACCTAAAGTTGCACTTGATGCTAGCCGCTTAGTTCAGAGAATGGATCGAGATTGGATGCAAACTGGTCGACGACCTGCTGGTATTTGTGGTGCATGTAAGTGCTTTCTTTAATGTAAATTTTTTTTATGGAAAATAATGGAAACTTATATCGGTTTTTAAGGTTTACTTGTTGCTGCTCGAATGAATAATTTCCGGCGGAGTATGAGAGAAATTATTGCGGTCGTCAAAATCGCAGATGTTACAGTTAAGAGACGGTTAGCTTATTGATGTCTCATTAAAGATTACTCAGTTTTTTCAACTCTGATTTTATATAATTGAGATTTATTTTAATATTTTCAGCCTTGAAGAATTCAAAGCGACTCCGTCAGGACAATTGTCAGTGACCGATTTTAAGCACGTCTGGTTAGACCAAGCTTGTGATCCTCCAGCATTTACTAAAGCTCGCAAGTTAGCAAAACTTGCTGAAAATCGCAAGACTAGTTCAAACGCCACGACACCAGCTCCCGCCGATATAGAAAATACTGTATCTGACCAAGAAAATGATGCAGACTTTTTCTCTATTGCCAGTCCTTCAAGTAGTCACCATTATCAGCTAGCTGGAACTCCTAATTCTGTGACAAATGATGAAGGAATAAGTTTATCCGATGATAATGGGAGTGAAGTTTCTGGAACATCAAAACGTCTACGGAATGCTGATGATTATAATGGTGATGAAGAAGAGGATAGAAGTTATTTTGAAGCTAGTGACGTCGACGAAGAAGACATCGATATTGCAGAAGAAATGAATTCGTATCTGAATAATTCTGATTTCCAAGAAGCTGCGGAAGAGATGGAGGGTAGATATTCTATCTTTGTTTTATTATATAAATGTCGTCTAATAAATTGGCTTTTTATAGAACAAATTAGGGCAGAACGCCGTGCAAAGATCAAGAATGATAATGAATTAGGATCTGACCTTGATGATGAAGAGGTTAATAATGCGATATTAAATGAAGAGGAGATAAAAATTAAAACAAAAGTTTGGATGACTGAAAACATTGATCATTTGAGAATGGTGGCAGGTACATTAAAGTTTACTTGCGTTGAATATTTTTGTCCTAATGGCAATTTGAATTCAAATCTCAACACGCAATTTTTTTATGCATTTAGCGAAAAAAGCGAAGGCTCTTCGGGATCAAGCGAATGGAATAGGACCTAGCCAAAAAGTAAAAATAATATTTCTTTTCAGTGATTTGTTCTTTCTTATTCCACATTGTAGCTACCGACCTTTCCTTTACTTTCTATGGTTCATTTAGCGTAAACGTCCTAAAAAGTCCAAAAACCACGAACAAGAAGAAGCCGCCACACCAGCCGAGGCCGCGAAACGGATGCTTACAGAAAAACGGCTCTCAAAGAAAATAAATTATGAAGCATTGGACCGTCTTTTCGAAAGCAATCCATTAATATCGAAAGAACCTGACTCTATAGTAAACACACCTCGTTCTTGGGAAGAATATGACGAGTACAGTGTTAGTGGGGCTGGCCTTAAGCAACGTGTTTCTGATACTACTACTACTATTACTACTACTACTACTACTACTACTAAGAAAACTGCAAGTCTTCTTTCATCTAAACATACAGCAGATTATGACGATTTTGATGAGGATGAGGAAGAGCAAGAGCAAGAGCAAGAACAAGAACAAGAGCAAGAGCAAGAAGCCGATGAATTTTTGGAAGAGCGTAGGCGTCTTGGGTTTATGGGTGTAGCTGAAGAGGAGCCGTATGATGATTATGATGATGATTATTGATTGAAATTGTTATTTATTTACGCGTTTATGGACTTTGGTAGTTTAAGAAGCATGCTTGAGCTATTTCTATTAGTTGTTGATTTTCTATGAACATTTAGATATCTGATAATTTTTTTATTTATTTATTATTGTAATTATTTTAAAAGTACAAATCTTTATAATATTGAATCTTTAACAATTGATCCCAGAATCAATTTTTCTAATTTTTTGGGTTAGCCAAAGTTTTATTCAAGTAACGATTTTGATTGGTTATTTATATTCCTATCTGTTAACCTTAAACCTGACGCTAAACCTAACCAAAACTCTGTTTAACGTTAGTACGAAGTTTGGGACATTGTCCTCGATCAAAATCATGTGACTGCGCGACAGCGATCACAAAATTTTTATTTTTCCGATGCATACAGCATACGCGAAAGTTAATTCAAAGCCCAAATTGTGGGTACACTATTGATTTTTTGATAATCATTAAGCCTCCAGATCACAGTCACAATAAAAAATTTCGGCGTTTAGGGATAATAAACATTGCATTCACTTTTTATTTTTATTTTTATTCGTTCGTTGATTTTGTGGTGTCACAGAGCTTGTTAGTGAATTATTTAATGAATATTCTTCATTATGTATAAAATTTAAACTTTTTTATTCTCAAATTCATCTTATGAAAGAGGACAAAATGCTATACATACATATGTATTAGTGACTTGTAAAATAATTCACATATTGTTATAATCTTATTAAAGATTCTTTGCTAAGTTTAGACATAAGGTGAGATTCTATTTACTTGTATTCTACTTTTTAATTTATTCTAAACTTAATGATAATTATTATGATTAATTAAGACTATATAGTCAAGTTAGCTAGACTTTTTGGTATCTAATAATAAGTATAAATAACTGAAAATGAGTTTATAATTTTTATTCTCTTTTATTTCTTATTTTATTTTAACATTGTTGTGATTTGATATTTTGTGAAGATAATTATCATTGCAAATAATCATTCCAGATAATCACTCCAAATTATCACTTCAAGTGATCATTCCAAGTGATTACTCCAAGCAATCACCAAATAATCACTTCAAATAATCATTTCAAATGATCATTCCAAGTGATCATTCCAAATAATCATTCCAAGTGATCATTCTGAATGATCACTCCAAGCAATCACTTCAAATTATCACTTTCTATTTATTAATTACTTATAAATATCACATGTATCTTAGCTAGAAAACTAAATTCTTTAGATAAGCTAATAGTTTTATTTATATTTTTTTAATGATTCTTCAGATATTTTTTAATATAATCTCTTATCTTAATTACAAAGTTATTATTATTGTATTTGTCTTATAACCTTTTACCTTAACTACAAAGTTATAACTTTTGTATTTAATCTTTGTTACTATTACAAAGTTATTGTTCTATTATTAAAAGATAATAAAATATTAATATTTAACTTGTTTATAAATTGAACTTTAAGAATGCAATTATCTTTGAATATTTCTGATCTCATTCTAGCTAATCACAAAATAAATATATATTATCTATCTTTAGTACTGTTACAATTATATTATAAAAATTATTAATTTCATAATTTGTAAAATTATGAAAATTATGTAAAGAACTTAGAATATATTATATATTATTAATTATTACATTTGTATACTTCTATTTTTCTACAAAAAAAACTCAAAACCAAAACTTAAAAACTTTAAAACTAGAACTGAAGAACTTGAACTGAACCAAAAGAACTTGAACTGAACCAAAAAAACTTAAACTCAACTAAAAGAACTTGATTTTTATTAATTATCAGTACTTATATTTATACATGTTGTCACGATCAGGCTTCTGATAGGTGTTATCATGACATATATGTTCAATCAACATCTAATAATGATAATTTTACAGTTACTTAATCTCGTTGTAATAAGTATACTTCAGGATCACCACACAATGCGTTTTCTTCTATCTCGTAAATAGATTCTCACTATTACTAATAGATGTTATGTCTATTTAATATGAGACAGTCCTATAGCAATATAGTACTGATATTCTATAGCAACTTTGACAATTATCCAATAGTGCGCAATAAATGTAAGTATTTTAATAAGTTATTATTCAATCAATTAAATGTACAAGTTTCATTAATAATAAACAAGAAACAGTTTATTAACTAGCTAGATTTTTGTATTGATCAATTGATACCTTTTTCAAAGTTTCAATTGCACTTTATTTATAATAAATATTTTTCACTAGTAAATGTTACATTTATAATTAATTATATAAGTTGATAAATAATAGATACTATATAATTAATGATAATTATGATAATTGTTATAAAATGATGATAATTACAG